TGAGGTCCTTTTGGATCTGGGATACACTTTCGCTTAGTGTCTCAGGCTTATTGCTGTATACTATTTTGAGATCATCAGCATATAAGTATGGTCTCCCAAATTCTATGGTGTTACATATATCGTTTATATACATAAGAAACAAAAGTGGACCTAATACGCTTCCCTGGATGACTCCACTGGTGATTGGCCTAGGGGACGAGAGACAGTTATTGTACTTTACCATCTGTTTACGTTCTGTTAAGAACGAAGCAAACCATGAGTACAGTGGGTTGTGTATTCCGAAGGACTTTAGTTTGACGAGTAGCCTTTTGTGTGGGACCTTATCAAAGGCTTTCTTAAAGTGTAGGAATAGGACTGATGCAAGGAGTCCGCTGTCTCGTTTCAGAGTTATATAATTCAGATAGTCTACTAGGCATGTATCGCATGATCTGGACCCAAGAAATCCATGCTGGGAGGTCGAGATGAGATTATTAGTCAGTAGATGTTGGACTACAGCCGCCTTAACTACTTTTTCCATCACTCTGGATACAATTCGGGTGGAAGCACAAAAACTTGTTGAAGGTGTAATAAAAATAAAAACTATGATAAAATACAAATATTAACGATCCAAACGTAATCAAAAAACTAACAATGTACAAATAAGGGGATCAATAGGAACAAAGTGCAAATATATACATGGAGGGATTTTCACAAACACACGAGGCATTCAAAACAGATCTTAAAGTGATTACCTTGTCTTCTTTGCTTTTGTCTGATCGTTCTGGTTTACGGTGATTTCCAGAGAGTTTCTTCGTTATGTCATGGCATGGCATGTGATTGCTTTGCCAATAATGTATTGTATTGTAAGAATATGTATTGAGCATATCACGTTGAAACTTAGCTGCTCTTGAAAATACACCAATAATCGTTTTGAGTTGACTGATCTACAAACAAAGTATCAGTTGATGGGTCATGGTGCTTTGCACATGTCCAAAATGAAGGTATTTGAATGTAACACCAAGATAAACAGAGGAAAAAACAACAAAAAAGCAGTTAAACGATTTGAAAACTATCTATAGGAAGTTTCATCTAATAATTCCAGTCTATTCAGTTTCAAACAAGTGGTACGAAACTAGAGGTGACAGGTGTTTTTTTAGTATAGAGGGAAGCACTATGAGGGGAAGTTTGTTGCTCATTTTCCTGGACAGTAACAGCAGTTTCTGTTCAATGTTTAATGTATTTGACTAGCTAACGACAGAACGTTTCCGTGGTGTTTGTATGAACTAACGATTCCTTTGTACTTGCTGAATGCTTGATTTCGAATTCTAAATACAGTACATTCGTCCGTGCTTATGTAGTACCTCTTGATCCAATTGCGTTATTTTCGGGATTCCTAGTTTGTACTATAATTCAAATACTTTTAATTACCATAGTTTCATACGCTTGTAAGTCGGTATAACACCGATGTCCTTGATAAAATTAATATCTATAAGGCTAGAATCCTGAATAAATAGATAGGATCATCTTGCGTGACAGTACGTGTAAGGTTATCAGTATGTCAACTTTTCAGCCATAAAACTGATTAGTTTAGCACGTAATTTCACATTATCTCTTGATCTGACATATGTGTTACTCTACATTAGAGCAGCTGAACTAGATGTCTAAATTTCAAAGTTACGAAGCTCACACTATTTAATCTAGTTACGGAAATAGCTTGTTCTTATTCTAGGTGACAATTAGTTTATGACTTGTATTGATTATTCGCATCTTGGAGTTCATAAACGAAAACCGAACTCTCGTTTCCTGCCACAATATTTAGAAATAGAACACTAGTCAGATAGTTTACATTTTACTAAATTTATCTCCAATTATACTGATGTAAAGTATATAACGTTGGATAAATCCAAAAAGCCGTTCTGTAGACCTTCGACATTGATGCTGACCGTATCAGTTTTACTGGACTCACCTAGATGAAGGTGCTCGGTCACTTATCTATACCAAATCACAAGAGGGTATGTAGTGGCACCAGACTCTAACTACACGAACTTTGAAGCCGAGCACGTAGTTACTGCAAATATTTAAATTCAACAATCGACACGAAGAGGTCAGCATTGAAGAAGGTGGGAAGAATTGGTTGAATTTAATGAGATGGCGTGGCCCGGCCTTGAAGGCGTGGTTGTTCTGTATAACTTGTCATCACTAAAATTAAATATATTATTCTATCTTTAGCCTAAATGTACCCCCTAGGAACTCCATACGTAATGTTGTAAATATTTACGATACGATGAATCAATGTAGACAGTGGTGTGCCTTCTACGTAAGATCTTATAGACTAAGCAGTCACATCATGACAAATCTATACTTTTAGAATTAAGTCTATTATTATAATATTAGTAATGACAAAGAAGACTGTATTTCTACAGGTACGTCATGCTATGCATTTCCAACAACGTTAGTCAGCTTGGACTCGATAAACTCCGAAACATATCTTCGAACGTCTTCACTTATGACTTTTAATCTGACTGGGTTAGCATACATTGATCATCAAGGTGCTATGCGTAAAGGTGATTTAAAGCCCCGAATACCTGTGGAATTTTAGTGGTGAGCACGACGTTATCTGGTACACCAATTCCAACACTGCATAAACTGCATTAATGTGCACAATTCCTCTCTCGTTTCAAAATAGCTCTGTAGATAAGACGAATGCATCTGCTGACCGGACTCTGAAGATCACCATAACCCCTGACGTCGAGGTTTATTCTGTCAAAGAAAAAACACAAACAATGCAAAATGATGTAGTGTACTTCTCAATCGTAATCTTACTATCCAGCATACTTGCAGGCACTGTCTGACTCCCCAAAGACGTCCGTCACGACAAAGATTTCTCTCTATGCCACGGGTGACAGACAAAGCTGATTGGTTCTGGTGTCAAAATAAATACGTGAAATCTTGTCAAAATTTAAGAAATCCATGCAGTTATTCAATTTGCGAACCGTCTGAAACGAAAAGTTTTGGGAAAATTACTTGACTGCACGCGTCAAAGGAAACCTTATCCGACGAAGTCAGATGTCTGATATACAGCACCGTCAAACAGCCCATAGGCATCTCCGTTGCACATGGTCTCCAAAAAGGACATCAACGATTGGCGTCCAACTGGTGCCTATCGACAATTGAATGCGAAAATGATTCCCGATCGTCACTCGTTGCCTCACTTTCACGACTTGACAGCTACTTTGAAAGGTACAACTGTCTTTTCGAAGATAGACTTGATTGGAGACTATAACCAAATCCCTATGGCCACTAACGACATTATAAAAAACACAATCATAACTCTTTTCTGTCTGTACGAATTTTCGCGAATGCCTGTCGGCTTAAGAAATACTGCTCAAACATTTCAAATGTTCGTAGATGATGTTTTTTGAGGTCTGCTTGATTGTGTCGTCAGACGAACACAAAGTCACGGCATTGGTGTAAACATTCGGATAGGTTTAATCCACACTGACTCCCTATATTTCCACAGACATACTAATGATGCTCAAGTCATCCAACTTCTGAAACGCAAAGTTGTAGCCATTCTGGATTACCCAGAACTGTTCACAAACAGCAACTAAGTATATTCAAAGGCCTGGTAACTTTCTATAGACGGTCCTTACCAAACCGCACGTCCCATATAAGAACTTTAGCAGCTCAACTCCATGGAAATAAGAAAATCATCAATTCGGACGACATCACGAAAAAAGCGTTCTCCACAATTGAGGAAATTGTCTCCAAAGTAACCTCACTTGCACACCAGAAAACCTAAGCACTCGTCAGTATCGCAGTGGACGCATCTGACTCGGCGATCCGGGGAGTCGTACAACATTGGGTGAACAACACCTAGTAGCCTTTAGGATTCTTGGTTGCTAGTCTCTCAATAGAGGTATAGCACTTTTAGAAGGGAACTCTCAACCATGTGTTGTATTGCATGACACTTTAGACACTCTGTGGAGTGTCGAAAATTCACTCTTTTCACTGATTATAAACATCTTGCTTTCTCTTAAAGCTCATTTACAGACAAGTATTTTACTCGACAGTCTCAACAACTGGACTGTAGTTCGCAGTTAACTTCAGATGTACAAAACATTTTTAAGGCAAATAATGTAGTTGCATACGGTTTGTCTCGTTAAACTTCCTTGAAGTTTCAGAAAAAATCGTGTAGGAGTGAGCACATTCCTGTGTAAGCTGTTAAAAACCCAAGGTAGTTAGACACAACAACTATCCCTCAGGTTCTTTCGAAACGTCAGAAATATGTTTAGAAGACAATTGGCACCCTGAAAACCGTTTGATTTAGGCTGCTTTGTAGTTGCGAGGGACGCGTAACACGACGTAGTAAGACATTGAAGATATCACAAGTACTCGGAGTTTGACAACACCTTAACCAGTAACAGCTTATATAATGGAAACATGCCAGCCCAGTTGAGCCAGATGTCAAAATCCAATGAGTCTGGAAGATATATTTGATTGAAGATCGATATATCGAGAATCGACTAACTTAGGCTAGTTAGCGGTTGCGGGAGAGATGAAGCACGACGTACTCACTCGTGATCTGATGTTGATGCATGACCGAGCACCTTCATCAAGGTGAGCCCATTAAAATTAATGCGGTTAGCATCAAATGTCGAAGAAATTTATTTATCGCTACAGAATGATCTGGTGTGGTTACATGACCGAGTGACAAGAGCAAGGGTATGTAAAGGGTAAGTATATCAAGTTCCGAATCGATGCTTAAGATTTATGGGCCTATTTTTACAAGAATTCATTCATCACAACAAGCCATAGCCTCTACTATCCCGTCCACGGCCATTTGAACTTTAAAACTAATATTGCTTGATTACAACCTAAAAATAAGTCACACTGATAAAACAAATGTGAACTCAACAAAATCCATCATTCGTGGTAAAAAGTAGAAGTCTTCGAGATGAATTATTATTCTTACTTTATTTTCCTATTTCTTCTGTCATTCGTTTCATTGCACTAACTGCAAAGCAAAGTCAGATTGGGAGCTTTTCAAATAGTTTTTGCATTATCGTTATGATTAGGAAAGGGTACAATAACCGTACGTTTATTTGTTCAACACGAAAAAAATCTTTAACGGCAGTTTTTATGCCAGTGAAAACACTTTATAATTAAAGTTTTCGCCAGGCACATCATAATACTTCTTCAGTTGGTCATAAATGTAAATTTCCAAATATTTAGCATAGTAGGTTTGAATTTCACAAAAATATTCTTGTTCGCCCAACATTCAGACGTATTTCATAACATTCTTGTTGTTGAAGTAAAAATAACAGGAATACAACGGAATATATTTTCGTATACGAATATATTCCTTCATAAATTTCTTAGTTTGTAATTGCCGTCTATATGTTCTAAAACCTTCATTGTGAGCGATTATTGTACTCTTTTAAGTCATTTGCCAGCATATCATGGGTTAGTTTTATCTGTATCGACATTCGTTGCAATAGATCATGTTTGATTCTTCTAAAGATAAATTTCTATAATATGAAATATTGCTTATCGCACAAAAACGTGATGCTTATATGTAGTCATCGGAAGAGAGGTGAGTGTAACTGAATTAAGCGTGGCTTATTTCCCCCTTCTTTCATTTGAGATTGTTGATTAGGGTGTTGTCCATCATGGTTCAGCATAACCCCGAGTACATCTTCAGTAACTTGGTAATCCAAGTATATCTTCTGACCCATTTACCTTCGACTTCTCCTCTAACTGCTCTAAAAATCTCATGGTAGAAGAGATTCAATATATATATATATATATATATATATATATATATATATATATATCACTATGAATAACTGCAAGTATCTATTCTGGTAAAATAACCAGCCAAAATATTGGCTTATTATGGTCTCTCCATGTCATCTTACTATAAATTGACTGTATCTCTATTTTTGACTCAATCTGAATAAAATACATAGAATTTAGTCTTTCAAGTTAATTCTGGATGATATTTATACTCTGCAAATGAATCACGGATACTGAATCGGCAAATTAAATTTTTGTCGTGTATTTGCAGCCCTTTACCCAGTAAGTGTTCACAACTAATTCCACATGTCTGATCCACCTATTCATTTGTTTTAATAAATGCATGTTGTTTATTTTGTTTCCTCTGTATTGTAGTAACTTAACTCATCAGAAATAGGTAGTAAAATAAAAGATATATTACTGAAAAACTAATTAGGGAGCCAGAATTTTTGAATAAATATCCTATTCACCGCTAAATTTCGAGTCATTTTAAAGAGAAACAAAAATGTATAGCACAGTTTTCCTAATTCTTCGACTTTCCGAGCATTATTATCTTTTCGACATAACAGTTTTTATAGTGGACGACCAGCAGTCACTGGATTATGGTTTGAATTCTCAATCCGACAACACAAGACTGTACATCTCAATGTAAGAAGGACAGTGTTGGTTTTGCTGTATTCACTTATGTTAACTTCGCTCAATATCCAGTCATTAAAGATTATGTCACTTGGTAAAATTAAGGTTTGAAATTATGTTTAGTTGTTCTTGTAAACTAATCTAGTATATGCTACTCGTATATGAAAGCCCATAGTTTTTACCATGCATGCATATTTTAGGCTAACGTATATAACTGTGAATTTTAATTTATGAATATTACTTGTCTGGATCTTCCCATCGATTGTTTGTACCACTAGGCAAGACAGTTACTATATAAACTCGGAAGCTTAGTGGACAATGTGGAATTTGAAGCCAACGGTACTGCGCTTAAGTTTCGGAGTGAACATCGACGCTAGGGTATAGGTTCACCCATCTGATGAGCAACGTAGATTTTAGTACTGGTCATCATCCATCTCTGTTTAAGACGGGCGTGACTTTAAAAAATATCAAGGGAACACGAACAGAATGCATAGACGCTTAAAAAGACTGATCAATTCGAGTCCTAAACATCAGTGTGACAATCCAAACAACCAAAATATATGAATGTTATGTGTAATCATATTATTTGTAATTTGTCCTAGTTACTGAATACTTTACAAAATCCACTTATTCACTATCAGTAAAGTATACACTTCCTGTCTGCAGCAAGATAATGACATGACGCTGGTTCAGGTTATGGATAATTTTATTGTATCATTACTCTTTGAGTTATAATCTTCCTACTAATATCTTTGAAATAAGTCAGGATATTTTTTGGTACGGCATCATAAATATTACATATCATATAAACTACGCCGTATAAATCCTGGTTACTACTTTTTAGAAATCGTTTTACGATTTGTATTATTTCACATTACATAAATAAACTCTGTGTTCCTATAAATATAGGTTCCAAATCTGTTTGTTCCGCTCCTGCAGAAGAAAAGAGTAGTAATAACGAAAGAAAAAATTCCATGATAGCAAAATGTGTCAGTAAAAAGTCAGTAAAATTTCCTGGAGAATGTAATCTTGTTACGCGTGTGATAGATCCAGTTGATCCTTGGTTAAACAGTAAGTTAGTTAGCTTTATAAATTTTGGCTGAAGGACAGTGTTTATCACCTGCTGAGTTAATCAATGTTTATAAACTTCAATGTAATCTCTCTTTGATCCAACCTTTGTATAGTGTTATTTCGCAGTTACAAGTAAGTAGTTGAAGAAAATCACTTGTTTGTAGTCTATAGATTTGAGGCAGTCTCTAGAACGGAAACACGTTTTTAATCTTAAGGGTAAGAGATTGTGTTATTGATTATCATTTTAGGTTGTCAACTTAACGGTGGACATATTGATATGTTGGAATATGTTTTCAAATACGTTCAATTCCAATACGTAAATCTGGAAAACTCCAATCTTGATGACGAGGTAAGGATTCTACTGGTGTTTTGATATAACCACATTTCATCACTCAGATATACAACCTGAAATTTGATTGCAAGGAAATAGAATAGAAGGCAGACATTTATTTAAGACAAAATCAAATCATTTTTAAGTGATGTCAAGACTATTACTCTTGTGGGCTATTTTTATTTTGGTTAAGACAGCATGAGTAATGTTATGAGTAATCACATGTTGTAAACTCTGATGTACTTAGAGATTTTATATGGATAGGAAAGAGGAAGTGGAATACGGAGTAATAACTACAAAATTTAAAAGTCAGCTTTTATTTCACTGTATCAGTTTTGGATTGTAAATGCTAGTTTAAGTAATATTCTGCTGGTTCGCGAGCTCATATGTCATATTAAACGACATTTTTTTAAATGGAAATAAATGAAGGACCCGACGCGATAAACAATATTTTCTAAATTAAAGGATAAACAAAAGAAACAACTAAGATAAAATCAGAATGAATTCTTTTTAGCGTAACGCATTCAGATATTCATTAAGGAGTCGCTTTTCCTCGAAACAAAAAGACTGAGTAAATTGAAATCAAAGGTAGTAAAACAATGATAGGTTTTTGATATTCCAATGATCATATATTCAGAGTAAATAAATAAATTACCGAAGCAAATTAACAAACGTCTAAGTAGCATGAAGGAAAAAGAAAAGTATTCAGTTAAATTAAAATCAAAGTGAAAATAGGTCTAATTATGTCACTTTCATGTTAATGTTTGGTCAAACGGTTTCTGTATGAGACACCAGTATTTGTGTGGCTGTGAAAAACGTGAAATTTGAATAATGAAATGGTCCGAAACATCAATGGGAAGATTCAAATAATCAATACATACAAATGAGTTGAAATCTAAGTATGTATGTGTGTGTGTTAATTGTCCAAAAAAAATAACATAGTTACATGTGGTTGTTTTTATAGACAGTTCAAGCTGGATAAATAGTCAGGGCTTCTTTTCTATTGAGGAAACTAACATTATGTGAAACGCTACAGCCACTCTCATTTCTTTATTGTTGAAAAAACCTTTTTGGATTATTTTGATATTCTTGATATCGTTTTGGTGGTAACTAAGTATAACACGTACTGCTAATGAGAATTCGATTTGTGGATTTTTCAGTTCCACAAAAGTAATAGATCTTTTTGTGTAGCTTAAGCGCTCTTTGGCACGAGTCAAGATTTTATAAAAAGGCCTTTCATCATGGAATACAAAGCAATCGACAAAATCTGTAGACACAGTACTGTGTAGATGTAAACAGGATCTTTTCTTGAGTCTGAACTAAAGTATTTCGAAGAGTGTTGGTTGTTTTATAGAAAGCATTGATTTTGTGTATCGTGGTAGTTAGGAAAATCTAGGGTACCAATACAATATATTTCATTAGAACTGGTATTTTTAGATGAACAGTTATATTCTAGTATATTAATAAGAATATTCACAGTAAAATTATTAAGTCGCAAAAAGTTTATTATGTTATCACTTCTGGGGCAATGATCTTGAAATTTCATCTAAATAAACTCAAGGTCAAGGATAGTTTTGCGCTGGGCAGGTGTGAAGAAACGAAATCGATATACCGATTTGAATGGATCAGTTTTCGGTATATGGTTGAATTAAGGTTTCCATTATGATTCCTCTTAACTAGACGGTCCAAGAATGGTAGTTCACTGGGTTCATCTTCCTTTTGGGAAGTAGATTTGCTGTGATTTGAAAAAGTGTTTATCATTTTAGGTTAATTTTTTAAAGAAAGTCTTCTTATTGATGAAAAATGGGGCATCTGCATAGTTGCCCAAGATATATAGCCTGATGGTACAGGAAAAATCAAGCAACCTAATATGAGATATGAGAAAATCAACAACAATGGACATTACATGAGATCTCACGGTCACTCTGTTTGTTTGTTTAAAGTTCCTTTGGATAAGAAATCGTTAAATCCAAGCATAGTTTTAGAAATTTCATGATTAGATTAATGCTAAAAGAAAATCTTCTAGGAAGAGTAATAATATTCATTGGTGAGTCAACCAATAAAATCTAAATATCTTTCAACTGGAATACTAATATATAAAGACACAACATCATAGCTTACTACTGTCTATTTCTGTTCCATAGATAATTCCAAAATTTTTAACTTGAAAACATATGAGTCTTAATAAATATTATGTAGGTTCTGCTAAAAGATCTCTATAAGTAACAACGGATTTATGTTCATTTTATTTCTTGGACTCATTTTTAGTCTGTTGAATCATTACATGAAATTTTGAGTTATTATGAAACATGTACGGGATTGTGTTTGGCTCGTAACCCTAATGTTACGTCTACCGGCTGGATTCCTGTCGCTTTTCTATTTCGAGAAGTAAGTGAACATGTTGTAATGTCGATTACTATGTTAAGCTCATATAACTTGTTCTGGCTTCTGGAGAGGCCAATTTATCTATTCTTCTGAAGTCACGTTTTGACCTTGTTAGTTATTCACTTATCAACCCTAACTTTTTATATGAGCGGATATGTGTGTACACTTCATATTATATTCGTAACATGTCTGTAACTTATTTTGATCTGGCTATAAACACTTGAATAAATGAAGTTGACTCGCACGCCATCTCCACTGAACTTGATTTTGCTTCGCTCTCTTCTCTTCACTTCATTCCTCTGATTGTCTGTTCAAATCAATCAGTGTAAAAAATATACGCATTCAAAAATCCATTCTCGTATTGGACTCATTTAATTCTGTTATTCAATAACGCGATTTAGGTCGATAATTGTATACAGGGATTTACGGTATGTGTATTTCAATAGCGATCACCATGCAATCTAATTGATGTCAGATATCGGGACATAAAAATGTGTTTTGTCAGACAGTTCATCGTTCCATTTAACCAAAGACTACTACCAAATTTCCCTGTCATTATTTCTGAATCCTGTTAAAAAATATAGCATTCTGTTTATTGTTATTGTTCCCTATTTACTAATTTATTGTTACATTAAATCGATGACAGAATATAAAAATTGGTTGTCAGTAGATTTAATATTGATAAACAAGTGTTTTATGAATGTTTATATCTTAAAATTTGGCGGTTTCTTGGTTAACAAAAAGTTAGAGATAAACCACTCATGCTCTTAATTTACTGTAGTTTTTTATTTAATTAATCTGAGTCATTTTAAAACTGAATGTAGAAACCATTTTGCTCAAGTTTTCTTCTCCTGTTTCTCATTGCGTTATTTCATGGAATTTTATTGTTTTTCGATTAGTTTTTGTCATCTACTAGTTACTTGATGAATATATATATTCACGGGTTTAACTTTTATGACTTCTGTCAAATTGTTTATTATAAGGTATATCATGCATGTATTTAGGGGAAAGGGTAATTTTTCAGCAAACGAATTATCTTCAGTACTTTTGTATAAATAAATCCTTTTAAGAAGTTCGTTAAATACGTATTCTACAAATGAAGCGTAAAAACCTAGATATTTTTCATTTAGTTATTAATTTATTGATTGCTTGAGCATTTCATCTATTCTTATTTTATTAAAGGATGTTTCAAAACATTTTATTTCACGTTATATCTAAGTGTCATAGCGAAAATATAAAATGAGATTGACCATTTAGTACCAATTTGTTTTAGGTCACAACGATTAATAAGTCAAGGCTAACTGTTAAAAAACATCATGATATTCTGTGATTGAATTTTTTTGACACTGTTGTACAAATAGCTTGACCATTAAAATCTACTTAAATTAGTTATCACTAATACAGACTGATAGATTCATTCCCTATCTATCAACCTTGGTTTGATTATAAACTAAGTTCGTTGACTTAAAGTTTAATTTTAAACCTTATTTACTGATTTTATAAATCTACTTTAAAAACTCTTCTATTACTCTAAAGTATTCATTTGAAAGATGATGGTTGGTTTTTGCAGTGACCATACGAAAAGTTTTATTCAGATTCAAGTGAACAATTGTATATGTAGTCACGATAATGGGTGAGTTGTGGAAATTCAATATTTTCAAAACCTGTTAAATTTTTAACAGTGAATTCTGTAACTCAAAACAAATATATTTTATGAACACTTTTGAGACAAAATTTCTTATTTCAAACAAACTAATACTTACCAATGGTTAACGTTTAATCTATTTCTTTTATTGTATCTTTTTTCATGTATTTGTTAGGTGCCGTATATGGAATGGCTTGATTTAAGAGAAAACAACTTGGGTTTAACTTTTGTACAAATATTATCATCATCACTTCGTATATCACGAAAAGAATTTAAACCAAAACAGTTTACAAAAGAAAGTTTTGATAGAAATTGTAATCGTCTCTCCGAGAAATTATCTGATAAGGATACTTCTAAAACCTCTAAGAATGTATCGATTTCAGAATCAAATTTAAGCTCATCAAAAACACTGCCTTTTCATTCACGTGGGTTACATTTGGGTTGTACAGGTATTAATGGGAAATTATTACATATACTGATTCCGGGAATTCGTTTGGGTTGTATTACTGATCTTCGATTACCCGATAATGGAATTACTGGATCTGATGCTAAATTTTTAGTTCCACTGTTACGTTATAGTTCTCATCTGAAATATCTAGATCTGAGTAGAAATCTACTTGGGGTAGGTTATCATGTTGAAGTTTCACGATGTTTTATGACTTTGAATGTGTTTACCTTGTTGTTTATTCTACTTTTTTATATAGTCTGACTGTCACTTAAACTAATAATTACAATTATCCTAATTAGTAACAATATGTAATAATTAAATTTCTAAAAATATAAATGTTAATCAAAATGACGTGAAATTTCAATTGGTTACATTATGTACATAAATAGGAAAAAAAAGAGTAACATTGAAATTCTTACATCAAATAGTTTATTTAAATGAATCCTTGTTCAATGTTATCATGCCTATTCTCAGTATGTACCATCAACTGAATGACAGATTATATTTATCGATGAAGTTTTGTACAAATCACAGTAGTGCTTCTTTATAACTATATATTTAAGGTTGAATAATTCATTTATTTATTTACCAAATAAAAGGCTAATTACATACTGTTCATTTGATCATTTGTAGCGTACATGGTCTGCAGGATGAATTTTAGCACAAGTCAGCGTTGTAATGAGTAAAAAGTAAAAGAAAGACAATAAGGCAGGAATCTTGAACTAAACTTCATTAAAATGTATTAAAGGTAGAAATCTTACAAAATGGCTTCCCTAGCAATCAACAAACCTTAAAAAAATGAAATGTATCGACATTCTACGTGATTGCTTTACTTAAATTGTCAGCATATTAATTTCAAACTTGTTATATAATCCATATAGATTTTCTGAGGTATCTTTGATTCAAACAATAGAGTAAAAGCGTCAGTCGTTCACAAATTACTTTAATAAATCGTTTCTTTATCATAATTTTCTGTAGTATTAGTCCAAAACAAGTATATTCTGGTTTTTGTTACTTAATTCAAAATTTATCTGTTGATGAACGATTGATCATAGTTTCACATACTGGTAATTATATCTTGTCAATCATTCAACCAGATATTTTAGGAGTAAAATTATTTTTACTCTTATTGTTATTTAATAAGAAACAATTTGTCTTATTTGATACGATACCTCATCAGATTGTTTGTTGAGTGTAGAACGATATATTTTTTACTCATCCAACTACTTACTTACTGATTTACGCCTGTTACCCCTCGTGGTGGATTATAAGCCGCCCACCATCATTCTCCATCGAACTCTGTCCTGGACAATCCTTTCCAGTTGCTGCCCATTCTTTTGATTTCTGCTTCCAAGTTTCGACTCTGTGTGTTCTTTCGTCCAAATAGTCTGGTTACATCCAAGCTGTCTATTGTATCCCACGCTTCTTCTGAGATTTGGAGGTCATCATAATTCATTCAACCACCAGAAGAGAGAGGAAGTGAGGGAGTAAGCAGACTTTTCTGACTCCGGTCCTTACTGGATGCATCCAACCAACATAAAGTTAATCACAACCAAAGGACTTGAAAACTATTTTGAATACTTTTGAAACAGTAATATGGTATAGAAAACCAAAGTTCTGAAACTATATGAGGCAGTATTCAAGGTTATACGGTTGCATTATTGTGAATATGGAATTCGGTAATTGCATAGAACAGCACTACATAAACAGTTCTATTTAGCGTTACTTCTTACTTACTTACTTACGCCTATTACTCTTAATGGAGCATAGGCCGCCGACCAGCATTCTCCAACGCATATTGTCCTGGGCCTTCCTTTCCAGTTCCACCCATTTCTTGTTCATTTTTCTCATGTCTGTATCCATATCTCGGCGTAATGTGTTCTTTAGCCTTCCTCTCCTCCTTTGGCCCTGAGGATTCCATGTGAGGGCTTGTCTTGTGACGCAGATGGGTGTTTTCCTCAATATGTGTTCTATCCACTTCCAGCGCTTCTTCCTGATTTCTTCCTCCACTAGGATCTGGTTTGTTCTCGCCCATAGTAGGTTGTTGCTAATAGTATCTGACCAACGGATCTGAAGTATTTTACGTAAACAACTGTTAAGAAACACCTGTATCTCCTGGATGATAGCTTTCGTAGTTCTCCAAGTTTCCGCCCCATGCAGTAGAACTGTCTTGACATTTGTATTAAAATTCTGACTTTGGTGTTGGTTGACAGTTGCTTTGAGTTCCAGATGTACTTTGGTTGTAGATATGCTGCCTTCACATATGCATCAGATCCACAATGTTCATCAATGATGCTGCTCAGATATGTAACGGTTTTTACATATTAGTGTCATATTAGTGTCGCCTTTTGTATGTCTTCTGATCTAGCATTCCACAGTGGAAAACTTTTTTATACTGCTAATCATGCCTGAAAATATGGTGTGTAAGTTACTTACTTACTTACGGCTGTTAATCCCAATAGAGCATGGGCCGCCGACCAACATTCTCCAACCCACTCTTTTTTGGGCCTTCCTTTCCAGTTCCATCCATTTCTTGTTCATTTTTCTCATATCTGTATCCATATCTCGGCGTAATGTGTTCTTTGGTCTTCCTCTCGTCCTTTGGCCTTGAGGATTCCATGTCAGGGTTTACCTCGTGACGCAGATGGGTGTTTTCCTCAATATGTGTTCTATCCACTTCCAGCGCTTCTTCCTGATTTCTTCCTCCACTAGGATCTGGTTTGTTCTCGCCCACAGTAGGTTGTTGCTAATAGTATCTGACCAACGGATGTGAAGTATTTTACGTAAACAACTGTTAAGAAACACCTGTATCTCCTGGATGATAGCTTTCGTAGTTCTCCAAGTTTCCGCCCCATGCAGTAGAACTGTCTTGACATTTGTATTAAAATTCTGACTTTGGTGTTGGTTGACAGTTGCTTTGAGTTCCAGATGTACTTTGGTTGTAGATATGCTGCTTTTGTTGTGCCGATCCGCGCCTTCACATCTGCATCAAATCCACCATGATCATCAATGATGCTGCCCAGATATGTAAATGTTTTACATCTTCCAAATCTTCTCCGTCAATTGTGATTGGATCGGTGCATGCTATGTTGTATCGGAGAACCTTGCTTTTCCCTTTGTTTATATTGAGACCTATTGCTGCTGAGGCTGCTGCTTCACTGTTCGTCTTCTCCTGCATTTGTTGTTGCGTTTGGGATAGAAGGGACAGATCATCTGCGAAGTCCAGATCGTCCAACTGCATCCTAGATGTCCATAATATCCCGTGTTTTCCTTCAGATGTTGATGTCTTCATGATCCAGTCGATCACTAGGAGAAAGAGAAAGGGTGAGAGTAAGCAAACTTGCCTGACACCGGTCTTTATTTTGAACGACGTTTTCAACTGTCATCCATGCACGATTTTGCAGTTTAATCCATCATATGAATTCTGTATGATATTGACTATCTTCTGAGGCACGCCGTAGTGTCGAAGAAGCTTCCATAGTGTTGTCCTGTCCACGCTGTCAAATGCTTTTTCGTAGTCAATGAAGTTGATGTAGAGTGATGAATTCCATCCGATTGATTGTTCCACAATGATCCGTAGAGTTGCGATTTGGTCTGTACACGATATATCCTTACGGAATCCTGCCTGTTGGTCACGAAGTAGGGCGTCTACGCAGCCCTTCATCCTGTTTAACAATATCCTGTTGAGGACTTTTCCCGGTATTGAGAGAAGAGTGATGCCCCTGTAGTTATCACAGTTGCTGAGATCGCCTTTCTTCGGTATTTTGATCAGGAGTTCTTCTTTCCAGTCTGTTGGTACTTGTTCCTCATCCCATTTAGCCTTACTTGCAGTCAAATAAATGAGTTAGTGTTAAATTTACTTTTATTGTATGAACAGTTTGAAGCTAGTTTTTGACGTCTATTTTATGTTAATTTAGAGAAATATCCAGTAAGATTTTGCTCATCTGATGTTTTCAATTAATAATTTCATTTTAACTTCTTCATTTAAGTGGTGCACGTGATTTCATTGTCGTTTATTTGTCTGTTGTGGTTATTCATTTAAATTTTACTTTTCAATATTGAACTGCATCAATAAAACATAGTTAATGTTTTTGTTTCGGAAATTTACATATATAATCATGTCTTTAGTTAACTAGTGGCCACTTAACTAAAATGTATTTATGATTGTAGAAAACATAGAAGCTTAGAATTGAAGCTTATTGTTTTAAAGTTATATTCATAGCGCTGAATAGAAAATAAATATGTCTGACTAACAAATTAATAAACATATCTAAAAATCAGTCTGTCACGTCATGATTTTGCATTTTATATGATAAAAGCTATAGAATACACTTTAGGTTCATATTACATTGAAAACAGGTATTTAGTGAATTTGTGAAACAATACAAATTTTACATTCATATAATCTAAAACCTTTAACATAGATGCCTCGCATTTATAAAGAACACTTTTTAAATTCTCTCCATTTACCCTCCAAGATTCTAAAAATAAAATAAATAAGTATGAATGTACAGAGATGTAGTGATGTATTATTCCCAAATTTAGTTTTGATACGTGGCATCAATCATCGAATTTACTGTTTCAAGGAGGGATTAAACACGAATATTATGTATATCAGTCTTGTCATGCTGTTCAATATAAAAGTGATGAAAATGTGTTTGTTGTATACGTGTAGACGTATTTTTCTGTAATACGTTCGCTTCGTAATATGTTGCAATTATATTTTTACTTATCTCTCATCGGAGTGTTTCATCAACGAATAGTTTTTTTTTTATCCGATGTTAGAGGCTATAAGTGTTTCGATGTTCTAACCACTCCATCTGTAGAATTATATCAAAACAATATTAATATATAGAAGTTATATTCATCGATAATTATTTTTAAAAATTCTGGTAGATATTCTTATTAACGGAATAATCTTTGAATTTCGCAAATCAATTGTCACTTCTGGACTTGCACATTTATATATAGATATTTTCCTTGAAAAAGCTTGGACCAGATTGCCAGGCGAAACGTTGGATTTACTTAAAAAAATCATTCGCTGAGATTTTACAGATATATTCTTCTTTTTAATGTCTCACATTAACTCGGCACCCAAATATTGTGAAACTATTCGTTCAAATTAAGACGAAAGTTCTTATTTTTTTATATATTTGTTTAGATTTGTACCAATT